GCAAGAATTTTTTCTAGTTTTTTTTTATCTATACATTTCATCTTATACTTTCAGTACATATAATAAAAAAAATATTAGGTTATACTTTTGCTGCTAAGCAACATAACATAAAATCCATTGTTGAAACGCATTGTTACCAAAACACATTTACTTTTCTATATATTAGAAGTTGTTACTCTAACTGATATAATACAAGGTATAGTATGGGGTGGTAGTACTTTCCTTGTAATTTCTGACAGACTATAGGTCTATAGTAAAATAGTGTCTGTGTCTGTTTGTTATTTTCTATTTGTAATACAAGTAACCAGTTCTTTTCTATATGGTTTCTCGCTGGCATGCTTCATTATAAAGATGTGCACCCGCATGCATGCACGCACGTGGATAAGATAGGTAATGATACCCAGGTGTACACCCTCAGGGTTCACTTAGTATGGGTGCACAATTTCAGGTTTCTAGGTTCTTTCTTCGTAGAACTATGGCGGTCACACACACAGAGACACACACTTTTCTTGTTATAGATCATAAGTCATGATTAGAAAGGCATTACTGTCTTCATTTGATTAATTTTATTCTCGCGGTGAATAATGTTACTAAAAATAAAGTACATAAATATAACAATGAAATGTCTGTTGGGATTTAACAAATAACCTTAAATTTTGTTTACACTATGAATATCATATACACTGCTTTAGAAAATATCTAGAAATGTATTCATAGAAATATAGTGCGAATTATTTATGCTTTATTATGGTGTAGCAATTAACTTAACAGCTATTGATGTTCTAAGATTCGGCCAGTTAATGGATAAATGTGATATCTAACCTATAGGATAAACCTTCAAACGGTCCCTAAGATGATCTATGAGATTAGGACAGTTCATTTCAAAACGTTTTCAGACACTGTTATGAAGCATGAAATAGGCATGAGTTGTTTGTTCATATACCATAAAGCTTTATAAGACCGAAACAATACGTTGGCGCCTGGTGATGAGATAAATTCACCGTGATTCTTGGAACGAGTTAATTTAAATATCCTGATGTTGTTTCCCAGTTAGCTGATCAACGCCCAGTGCACAGAATGCAGCACATACTGTAATATTTCTACCATAAACCTTCGTCTTTTTACACAAAATTATGTAGATTATGTAGTCAAATTATTCACTTGTTGTCTGTTTCCAGACCCATATTCTGCCGAATTACTGAATTGTCTGCTTTCAGACCCATATTAAGGCGAATTATTCACTTGTCTTTTTTCCAGATCCATATTCAGGCATCACTACAAGACTGGGTGAAGTGGCACACATTTCCTCACAAACTAATCATCAAGGTTCAAGTTATATTGGACCTTTCATCAAATAAATGTGATTTTTTAAATTCTACCAAATGAGTATTTGTTATACTATAACATCATTTTTCCTCACCTAAACGTTTTTTAAGATCCTAAAACTTTATAGTTTACAATATCTATTGAATTGTCTCAAGCACAGAGTGATACCAGTTAACAAGAACTGTTATTAGCTCATATTTATATTTTCTAAACTTCGAACAGTTTATAATTTTTCTACTAATTCACGAAGCTTTAGGATTTTTTATAAACTTCGATATTACTATTTTTACCTATCTCTTGTGATGTGACAGTCCACCCACTGGTTAATAAGATATATAAAATAATAACTTGATATGATTACCATTAAAGTACATTTGCTTAAGTAGCTAAAATTCAAATGGTTCAGTATTAAACGTTCGTCCAGGAAAGATATGCATAGCCATATATATTCAATGTAACTAACATTTAATTTTTGAAGAAGTGCTAAAGAAACACTATTAAAATTTCAAAACAGTAGTGTAGTCGAAAGTAAACGCGGGTAAACAAAGTTTACCTATTTCTCATTTAAAGAATAAAGCATACTCTTCTGTGACAAGTTAAAGCCAAGACATGTTCTAATGTATAAAGTAAAGCGACTCGAGAGCATTTAACAATGAGAAGAATTTCATCCGTTCAAGATTAGTTAACTCATTTATTTTCTTTTGCCACTATATCAATACACAAAAGGACGATGCAAAAAAAACAAAAAAAAACACTTGGTTAGTGTACCGCACTGTGAATACGAGAGTCCATGGTTAGCGTCCTGTTGTCGTAAAATCGTGCTCCACGCATTGGGACTTTATGAGTGACAGTCAAATTCAACTATTTTATTATGGTAGCCTAACTCGCACACACTACTACCGCAACGTTCTTAATTTCTGCCCTCACTATAATTTTTCTAACTCATATCTGTCTTTCGCTACCTCTTTTTCATTTATTATCATAACTGGCTGGGTTCCTGCAAAATTGTACCCTGATATCATCGGTAAACACATCTCGTGGGATATCATTAATGTTCCTGCAAAATTGTACCCTGATATCATCGGTAAACACATCTCGTGGGATATCATTAATGTTCCTGCAAAATTGTACCGTGATATCATCGGTAAACACATCTCGTGGGATATCATTAATGTTCCTGCAAAATTGTACCGTGATATCATCGGTAAACACATCTCGAACAGCCATGGAAATACCGACTTTTGTATCACCTGTATAGAGAACGGATTCGAGGATCGTTTTAAATTTCATATTACATCAGCGTATAAAATATAATTCCGTTCTGAAGCATTAATCATAGTTAACATTTGAAAAATATATAAATGTTGAATACCTGTAAACTATAAAGTCACATGGGAAAAAACTACAATTTGCGCAGTTTAACGACTTCTAGTAACTTCTATCAGATATAGAGTAAGTTCAGTGATAAGTGAAAATCACACAGATTTATTGTTAATTTGATAGTATAGAAAAATGTTTATTGAATGAAATTGGAATACTGAGTGAACTACATACACTCTTTCATATTCCAATAGATCAAACAAAAATGCAACCTACTTTTACCTACCAACTGCATCTGTTATTATCACCGTCGATAAGATATTACACACACAATGTTTTATTATTGGAGTTTCTTGAAAACACTTCAGCTTGTTTTTGAAGTACTACAACGTAGAATTTGAGTGACATTCTATCGAGCTGATACTTTACTGTTATCTCCAATTTAATGATGTAAAAGTCAATCTTAATTAAAGGAATTATAGAATTTTACTTATGAATATATAAACATTCATGTCGCTTCGAATGTTCCAGAAATCCAAACGGGTTTTTAACATATACGTTATTTAATTGCATTTTTAAATGTTTAGGTATATGATTAAGACTAAGCAATATTTTTCAGTTCCCTATTTTT